TTTTTTTTTATTATCTTGTTTCATGCTAATAAGCCACCTTTGAAGTGAACAGAGAGAGTGATGGTTAGACTTAGAAAATGAAAGCGAGGACATGAGTGAAATGAAGAGGATAATCATGTGGAGAGACACTAAAACGAGTGGGAGAAAACAAGCAAGGGAGTGACAGACATGGGAAGCGATGTGTGGATAGTGAGCGAATGAAGACGGGTCAAAGAGTGCAGTGTTGGAAAAGGGAAAAAGAGAGGCATGTCATTCCTCTGTAAATGAAGAATGCTCACTGTGGGAGCCGTTAAGCAGTAATTCACCCGTCGGTCAACCGCACACACATTTTACATGCAGAAAACTCACACAAATACATATTCATGCTCAGGGAGTTCAAACGCCTCGCTCACACAAAGACATATTTACATCCTAGGACATAAGAATGGGTGCTATGATAGTAGAAATGTTGACTGGTAGAGATTGAGAAACCATTTATTCTGCTTTGTTTGGCTGTTTTGTTATTTACATGTGAAGGCATTGAAGATGCATGGAAAAAATACGAAAATACAGAGTAGGATCTACAAAAGGTAGATCTTGTCATTAATTGGTGCTAAACTGTTTTGGATGGTTGACTAGTGTAGCTAATAAACAACTGTTTTATACTTGTTAAGAAGCTTGTTTTATACTTGTCGTTCTTTTGTTATGAATAATATTATCTTTTGTCTAAGTTCTGAATTGGAGATAAAATGCCTTTCAGTATTTAATTCACTGATTTATCCAAAACCGGCATTGAGATATGGTTATGTAAAATATAAGGCCATTCCCATTTGCTGATTTTGTTTATAATGCTTTTGAAATAAGTCTCGTACTGTTATCGTGCCCTTACCAAGGCATTTAATCAAAAATACAGTAAAAGGGAAATACTATTACAATTTAACATTTTCAGCATCATCACTCCAGTCTTTGTCACATGATTCTTCAGAAATCATTCTAATATGCTGATTTGGTGCTCAAGATACATTTCTTGTTGTTGTTATTATTATCAGTGTTGAAAACGGTTAACTGCATAATATTTTAGTAGAAACTATGATACCATTTTTCATAATTCTTGAAAGTTCAAAAGAGCAGCATTTATTTGGATTATTTTAGAAAGCGTTTATAACATAATAAATGTGTTTACTCACACTTTTGATCAATGTATTCTTGAAGTGTTAATTTCTTTTTTTTTTAAAAACAACAACTTTTGAACGGTAGTGTGTATTATGATATTTTCTGTTACCGTGATATAAAATTACTCATGCTGTCATAACATTTTATTCATACCGCCCATCTCATAAATCATATTAATATTGTTGTGAGAATTTAAAACCTGGATACTGACAATGGATCCAAAACCCTGATTTTAATATGCCATGATGTATATCAGTGTCTATGTCAACTTGATGTTTGAACAGGTGCTGCTAACATGTTGGCGGGTCAGAAGAAGAACCTGTTTGCGGTGGCTAAGACCTGGTACCAGCAGTTCTCCGTACACACCCTGAGCCTGATCCAAGGGAATCGCTCGGTGTGCGGATTTCACCTGGGGTACCTGGACTCTGAGACCGAGCTCATCGCTCAGGCCATGGCAGCCGTTGTGGACCTGTACAGACAGGGCAAGATCAAGCCCCGAATTGACTCCACCTACCACCTAGAACAGGTGAATGAATGAGTGTCAGATGGGGGTCATTTGAACTGATGTGTATGTGGGAGTTGTTTGGAAAAAACATGAAGAGTAGAATTATATTTGGGAGTGTATTTATACCAGGAAGTTCAAATCCATTGAGATTCTACCTTGAGCAGATAAATATGCGACGGTGTTCTTTCACGATCATCACCTCAACCACCACCCATGCCTTGTACTCCTTCCACCCTTTGATCAGTCATTCTTGCCTTGTCCCTCACTTGCTCTTTCATCCATTTTCCCTATTATTTCTTCTCCTTTCTTATCTCTCCTGTTGCTATAGAGATGTCTCTTCCTGCTTACTGTAAGTGTCTGCGAGCTGATGCTTTTATGACGAGCTGGGGTTTTATCAGCCTCGTCAGACTTTGGTGTTGTTGAAAATTCGTAAAAAGAATTATGAAGTGCTTTCACATTCAACTGAAACGAATATTTCACAAGACTTCAGCTGATGAGAAGAGCTGTTTAAGTGCTCTGTGTATGCTGGTAACTCTATCTCCCTGTCCTTCACTCTCATTTCCGGTCTCATTCTCTTCACTCAATCTGTCCACAAGTCAATCGTCAGGGCCAGGTTGCTTTTCCCCGTTGCTAGGAGATGGCTCGCTGTTGCCGTGGCACTGGTTGTTAGGTAGAGTGGTAAAGAGGTGAGCGCGGGGGGGGTGGAACGGAGAGGTGACAAGAAAAAGGATGACAAGAAGAAGGATGACGCCAAGAAGGAGGAGAAAAAGGAGAAGGAAGAGGTCAAGAAGGATGACAAGAAAGCAGAAGAAAAGAAGGAAGAAGCCAAGAAAGAGGAGAACTGAGTGGAGAGAAACATTGTGGATGTGCTTTGTGTCCGTGTCAGCGGTTTGGGAGCGGTCTGAGTGTGTGTGTGTGTGTGTATGGAGGGGTGTATAGTGTAATTAGCTTAACCCCAGTTGATTCCTGACATTAGCTCTGCATTTCTGCAATCATTCAATCAACAGAATTCACACACCACTTATGTTCACCCACACACACACACACACACACACTTTATACACCAAGGGAACACACCACTTTATCGTTCTGTTGTAACCCGGTAGTATTTATTCCCGGTTCTGCTGCGTCCTTTTTAACTATTTCATATGACTGCATGCCACCAAGGCATGTTAGGGCAGTATTATCCTTTTTATAACTATCACCGCAGTGTTTACTCAACCAACATCTTTAATTATATAACAAAATAACCTTACTCTGCACCCTTTAAAATCGTACTACCATATCCTCTAACGTTATTCCTGCCAAACTAATGCACTATAAAATTATTTTATATCACTGAAATATTCTTTGTAGACGCAAACCAAGAACCACCTCATTCGCTCTCTACACCCCTCCGTGTGTTTGCGTATCCACTGTGAGTTTGGCTTTTCTGTTTCCTTTTCGTCTCTGTTCTGAAGTGGGTGCACTTGTTTGATTCGCCATACGTCATCAAAAGTGAAAAAGCTTTTTTTCTGCCCACCTTGGCATGCAAAAACAAGAGCACCCACCTACACTCCCATTGTTTGTTGTTTTCCCCTTATTGGGCCAGACTCACTGACATGTACCCCCAATTTACACCACTTATGCTCTCTCTCACTCACTCACTCACACACATACTTTATACACCAAGGGAACACCAGTTTATTGTTCTGTAGTAACTCGGTAGTATTTATTCCTGGTTCTGCTGTGTCCTTTCTAAATATTTCGAATGACTGCATGCCACCGAGGCGTGTTAGGGCAGTATTATCCTTTTTATAAATATCACCGCAGTGTTTACTCAAGCAACGTCTTTAATTATATAACGAAATAATCTTATTCTGCACCCTTTAAAATCATACTACCATATCCTCTAACGTTATTCCTGCCAAACTAATGCACTATAAAATGATTGTATACCACTGAAATATTCTTTGTAGACTCAAACCAAAAACCACCTTGTTTGCTCTCTACACCCCTCCGTGTGTTTGTGTATCCGCCGTGAGATTGGGTTTTCTGTTCCTTTTCGTCTCTGTTCTGAAGTGGGTGCACTTGTTTGATTGGCCATACGTAATCAAAAGTGAAAGATTTTTTTCTGCCCACCTTGGCATACACAAAAACAAGAGCACCCACCTACACTCCCATTGTTTGTTGTTTTCCCCTCATTGGACCAGACTCATTGATATGCTCTCAAGCTCCACCCCCCTGGAGGAGTCAGGGTGGTCTGGGATTGGCCGAGAGGGACAACAAGCTTCTTTCATGCGCACACATGTGCACTGAACACGTCGCTGACGTTACTCCAAAAACTAGCAAGGGTGTTTTAGGCTTCAGCTGATCAATGTGCCATGTCATTAAAACGGGGGAAGCACCAGGGTTTTAATGAGTCTAGCTTGGTAAGCAGGACCAATTATAGAGAACATTCTCCCAGCCTTTTCCCCATCGTTTCGCTTGTCAGATGTGGACTCATAAAGACAGGAGTGGCCTTTCATTCCAGAACCTCCTCAGGATCCTGATGCTTTCCGCCCCTCGTTCCCGTGACGGCTTACCCACACGATAATGTTGACCTGCAGTTCACATTTAAATATGATCTCCACTCCGTCTGGCTTTTCTAACTCCGCGCTCTCTCTCCCCCCGTCTGTTCACTTACCCTCTTCGTCATTGTGGTTGGCATAGCAACCGCAGTTAGGCTGGTTAGGGATGACGGTTAGGTCTCACCCCCACATCCTAGATGGACACAAACATACAACCACTCACCATCTCCACAGCAGCAGCTTTTATACCATAAACCTTGGTAGTTTTATTTTAATGCATTTAGGAATGTGGCTACACCCTCTCTTAGACATGTCAATCAAACCCTCTGGCTCCTCCCCCTCCGGTTTCTCAGAGCAGTAATCTAATGCCTCCGCTGGTGATTTAAATGCATTGCAGTGCTATCATTCAAGTAATCAAGACACCTGCCAACCACTCTTTTTCACATTGAGTCTGGTTCATTTCAGTGGGTGTTTGTGAAACACAACCAGATCCCCTCTTTTATACGTGCGTTTGTTGTGTGTGAGTATGTATTTGACCGTCTGTCCTCAGGTTTGTTGTCAGATTTAATTCAAATATTCTTTCTTTCTGTCTCTCTACCTCCCTCATGCTACCTTATGCTACCGTCTGGCATTTTAACGGTCTCTTTCTCTCCTCTTCTGTCAGTTTCTAACTCTCACCATCACTCTTGAATATTCCGGCCCCCATGAACAGCCTGCATTGGTTTGCTATCATTTGCACTCAGCTTGCACTTATAGGGAATGGCAGTTCCACACCTGATCCACCGTATCTCTGAATCCCGTCCGGGTTTTCACTCAGACCATCAGTGTCAGTCACATTCTCGTTCTCCCACCAACACACTCACTCTTTATGCGCCTCTAAAACCAAGAAACAAGTCTTTGAACATGCATGGAGATGCTCAGAAGGCCACGTTGTTTGATGCATGCTCGTGTTTACATAATCACTATGAGTGCAGATAACCGTTCAGGCCCAGAATGCATTGGGGTGGGTGTGGAACAGTCATACTAGTCTGAAGAGTCACTGTGTTCCAATTTACTGAATCCCCATCTGGTTTTTAGTTCTGGATCCGAGGGATTGAGTTTCAGTTTCTTGTTGTGTTCTGCTAGTTCTCTTCCTGTGTTCCTTTTGGATGGTGACTCGAACCAACACTTCAGTGAAAAATATCTGTCCTTTTTGTGTTGTTTGGTGTTTTTTTTTTGTTTTTTTTTTGTATCTTTGTTTTTGTGGTCTGCATTTCAGTAGTTTGAGTTCAAAATGCTTAGCTGCAGTTCCTCTAAAATGTGATGAATCATGTGATTTCGTTGGTCCTGACCGAGTGTGCCAAACTTTTTTGTGAAGGCATGACCTTCGCTATAACTGTGCTTACTGTATTGAAGAAGAAAAAAAAGCAAAGAATGAAAGCTGAAGAAAAACAAAACCTTACCGTTTGTGGTTTTTGTCAAAATGACCTTGCAGTAAAAGATCTTGAGATTCTGAATTCGCTCCTGTCGTGTGTGTGGTCGACTATGCCCTGAATATTATTGGTGCTGACTGATTTCTGACTTTTTTTGTTTTCCGCTAATGTTCGAATCCATGCAAAACCTCTCGTTCTCACTGTGCCTCAGTCGTAGACCAACACCAGATTGCCTCCACGCATGTTTACAGGTGAATGCATATACACGCACGTAGGCAGTAGTTTGTCCCCAAGGCCGTCTCAGCTCTGCTGTCCTGAAGGGCTGGAATCTCATTCCCACTGATCTGAAACCCCCCAGATCAGGTCTACTGTTGTTTACGGATGCACTTTTGTGTATCGTGTAGGTAATTAGGTGTATCTTCTAACCTATGACCCGAGGTAACCCCCCTCCCAAAAAGATCCAGCAGCTGTCAGAAAGGACAAATGATTAATGTCAGTGTAGTTTTCCAAGCAGTTTCGGGCTGCAAGCCATTCATTGTTCATTTTTTTTGTTTCTCAGTGAATGTACAGTAATTAATTGCGATCCTAAAAGGATAGTTCACCTAAAAATGAATATGATTTACTCTCCCTCGTGTCGTTTCAAACGTGTGACTTCCTTTATCTGTGAAGCATAAAAGATATTTTTGTCCATGCAATGGAAGTCAATGGTAACCAAAACAGTTTTGTTACCAACATACTTCAAAATATCTTATTTTTGTGCAAATGAGTCATACTGTTTTGGAATGACATGAAGGTGAGTGAATAATCACAGAATTTTCATTTTTGGGTGAACTATGCCTTTAACATCTAGTCCTAGAGCCCCGTTCACAAGCAAACCTTGCTGTGTTTTCATTTCCAGATGATCCAGCAGCGGCATTCCGGTTCTGGAACTCATCTCGGCAGCTTATGACATCAGGGCGGCTGTCGATCTGGTTTCGTCCCTATAGTTCTGTCTGCATTGGCTAACGTTAATCACTGCTGGGTCCTTTCAGAGACCATTTGGAGCACCCACACCCAAAAACAATGACATCTGGGTTGGGAATGCTCACTTTAACTCTCTCAAGGTTTAGACCTTCTTACAGCATGATGGTTTGGAGTTTCCTTTTCGGAGCTCACAACAGCTCCACAATGAGTTTAGCTGCAGGTGCAAGTGTCTCTCGTGGATATGGAATTGTGTGACTGGGAGCCAGAGAGAGGCTCGTGTCGAGCCAAGCTGCTTCCTTCCTCAGTCTCTCAATCCAATAGCTTTCCCAGAACAGGAAACGCCCCTCAGGTTTGCAGAGTGCAGAATTCCTGCTGCAAATGCAGCCTTAACCAGCGCTAAATCACATCACGCCTAGACTTTGTTTACAATATTAGATACACAAACGTAGTGCAATTTGGTGTTGCCTACAGTGAAATGTATTTATTAATTTATGCATCAATGAAACCACTAATGAAATGAAGCTTTGAAAGGATTTTAGCTCTGAATTTATACAGCAGATGTATTTGCCTTCTTTTTGTCTGGCACATATGAGAAACGGTGAGTCATTGTGGACTGTTTCCCACACATGCTCAGCGTAACAGGTCTATCTTTGTCTTGCAAATCTACTCTGCACTCATCACACGGTCTTGATGCACTTTTTATGTACATTCGAATGCATACTTATGCTAATAAAGATGCATGGTGACTTTGGAGACGTTTCAGAAAGATCTCGAGTCAGGAAAGGCTCCATTTGCACTCTGTAAATTACTGTTCCAACTTTCCTGCTTGGCTTTTTGACTGAAGAGCCAATCAGAGGCACCAGCTTGCATTCCTGTTCACTGATTGGTTCTAAATTCAAACCCCGCCCCTATCCGTCAGCATTAATGCTCCTCCCCCTCCACACACGTCAGAGAAGCACCGGGTTGTTTGTGTTGTTGTTGTTTGTTTCTTGAAGCCCTCCATCAAAACTTTCTTCATATAATTTTGAGAATCTGAAGTGCTGCTGTTTCTGTGCTTGACTCTGGGTTGGTTGGACTGCGTGTGGTCATGAGGACCGTAGAGTTCATAACGCTTCTGTGTGTGATGTGACCATTTTGCCTTACATGTTTTCCAGGACTAATTAAAGAGCATAACTAAAAGAGGTGTTTTCGGAGTCGTTATTAAACATGCTTCAGCCATACATGCCTATAGAGAGATACACATTAGTTAGGTTTATTGAAGGGAATTATTTCAATCTGAACTGAGGTAGTCAAAAGAGTAGCATGATCTGATCTGATCTGCTTTCCACGTGTTTTTTACAACCCACAGTGTTCTGTCCTTCACAACGCATGTTCTCACTGGGATATCAGTTTAATATTTGTTTTCCAGTGTGATATTACATTAATTGTCGAGGGTGAAAAAAATGCAAGATATGTTATACACCGCAAATTTTTTTTTTCATCGTATGTTTGCCTAGCAGTTCACTATCATTAATGCTTCCCCCCCCCCCTCCACACACGTCAGAGAAGCACCTTGGGTTGTTTTGTTTCT